ATTTAAAAGAGTTAGAGATAGTTCTTTCTCATTGAATCTAGAAAAGAAATGAATTAACTCAGTTTTATTCATATTAAATTGGATTTAATTGATATCTGCTCTAACAAAGATTTTCTTTACAGCTTCTTCAATTACTTTTAAATTCTCTTTGATAGTTTTTGAGCTGTAGGCTAGATCAATATCATTCATATAACTTGAAGATTGCACTATTCTCATATTTCTATTTTTGAATAGATATGCAGTGTATATTGCAAATAAAACAGATGAGATTGAAGATCTCTGTGATACTTCTATTTTTATCTCAGTCTTATCTTATTTCATTTCATCAAAGAAGAGTTGTATAATTCTTTTAGATATGAAACAGTTAACTCATTTTATTAGAGAAAGTGACAGTTTTAATATCTTCAATATCTGAATTAACTTTGACTTTGAAACATGATCAAATGCTTCTTTTATATCAATAAAAACTGCAGTTGAGACCAGATTCTCATGCTTTGCTATTTAAATATCATGAACAACTGAGAGAACAGTGTTAATTGCAGAACACTGTTTTCTATCTCTCATTTATTCACTGAATAAAAGAGAATCATCTATAGAGCTTATAAAAGATAGTTGAGTAGCTATTATCTTTTCTAAAACCTTTTCTAGACAGTTCAATAGAGATATTACTCTATATGACTTAGAAATTGAAGTTTTTCTATTAGATTTTGTAAGAATCACTTCAGTGACTTCTCTTCAGCATTCAGAATGATATTCATTTTTCAAGAGATTGAAAAAGAGCTTAAAATATTCATTCTTTAAGTAGAAATATATATTTTGAATAATTAAATGATTAATTGAATCAGAATCTGCAGCAGTTTTAACAGAACTTGAGAAGATAGCTGACTCTAATTCATCTTATGTAAGATCAGACTATTCTCAGTCATTTTCATCAATGTAGTTGAGAAGTGATATATTCTCTTTCTCTTTCTCTGAATCTGAATCTGATGAGTTCTGAAAGAGAATTCTCATGAAAGCTTGACATTTTTTCTCAAAAGAGTTTGCTGTATATAATTCATTCTGAAACTCATATTCTAAGGCTGAAAGTTTTACTACACTTCTGGTTTTAGTATAGTTAAAAGCTTTAAAAACTTCCTTTTCTTATACTTCTTCAAGGAATTTATTTCAGCAGTCTGTTTTAGCTCTTTTAATAGCTGAAAAGTATTCATTTCTGACAGTTTTGAACTCTTCATCAGATATTACATCATTCTTTCAATCTCTTCTAGCAGTAGCTAATTCTTTTCTTTTAGATGAGATATTCTCATTTCATCAAGATTTTGAATACTCAGAAGATTTTCTCTTTGAAATATTATCTCTAACACTTGTTAGAATAATAGATGTAATAAGCTTCACTCTGTTCTTAAGCATTTCATTTGAGATATCTTGACCAGAATTTCAATATAGCTCATTCTATCTTTCAGATTTTAACAGTTTTATACTTTCTTCAACTGCTTATCAATCAGCTTTTTCAAAGTTATACTGATTAGAGAGAAGAGGATTTTCACTCATTTATTTTTCACTCAGTTCAATATCAAATTGAATAATCTTATGATCTGATTCTGATGTCTCATTTGAATCAATAAATCAGTTTGCAAGTCTTCTTTTCATTAGATTTTATGATATAAAGATTAGATCTATAATAGACTTCTATTTCATATCTTTTCTAAAGAATGTTTATTAATCAGACTTATTAACCAAATCTATTGAATACTCAAAGGTTCATTTAATCAGATTATCAGCTCTCACTGCTCTCTTGCATTCTGAATTTCATCAGAGATGATGTGCATTGAAATCTCCTGCAATTATAGAGTTTCTTGATGAAGTTATGTTCAGAAATTCTCTATCAATTGTTCAGATATTATTATTTTTCTTCAATGACTTTTCATTATAGATATTTATAAGCTGTATAGTATCAAACTCATTTTCTTTATCTATAATATCACTCACCAGAATATCAGAGTCAGACATGATATCAAATCTTAGATTAAATTGATATCTTGATCTCTTTCTTTCATAGATCACTACTCTTAACTTTATCTCAGACTTTTGAAGTAGAAAGTAGTAGTAGCTTGAATGAGAAATGATGTAATTTTGCTCAGCATCAAAATTCAGTTTCTGAAGTAGTATAAAATCAACTTTTTATTCAAATGCAATTTGAAGACAAGAATAAATACAATTTGAGTTTCTATTCACATTATTTTGAATAAATGTGATTTTTGAAGAGTTTTTAAACTTTTTTTGTTGTTTTTGTTGTATATTCATACTAAAAGAGAGTAGAGATAGAGTAGAATCTAGTCACTATCATCAGATAGTAGATTATAACTATGTTGAAAAGTAGAGATCTCAACTGCTTACATTATATCTAGTTTATCACCAGAGTCATTTCTTAATTCTCTAATCTTAACAGAAGTTTGAGGATTCAAATTCTATCTACATTTAGCTAGAGAATTGAAGTTTGAAGATTTAGATAGTTGAGAGTTTCTTCTTTTTAAGCTTACAGTTGTAAGTCTACTGACTTGACTCTTCTCTTGACTTCTAGATTGACTTTGAGCTTCATCTTTTCTCCAGTTCTTTTGAGTTCTAGAAGCAAACATACATTCTTTTGAGCTAGATGCATGTTTTTCTTTGCAATTAGAGCACTTAAGCAGAGTATATTAATAAATTTCATCTCTTTTTGAGCATGTTTCACATTTATACTCACTAGTTTTGTGATCTCTGGCACAGACTGCACATTTTAAGTCTCTAAAACATGAGATTGCAAAGTGTCTATATCTTTGACAGTTTGAACACTGTGTTTGAGCTTTGAGATTCATTCTTGAGTCTTTATATTCATGAACTCTCATTTTCAAACCTGCTACTCTTACTTCAGAGATCTTTGACTGTTCAAGTGTTTTTATATATACTAGAACAGAGGCATTTCTCCTGCTTTGTCTGAACTCAATTGAATTTAGTCATAC